CGCATGTCCTGACGCGCGAAATTTGAGGGACCGCAGGATCTTCTCGGGCCGCCTCGCGCCTTCTCGGGGCTCTCGCCGTCCTTGAGGCGTAGAGTGGCCTCCCCCATCCTGCCATTTCACTCCTCGTTCCGTCTTGTGCCTGGAAGATGATATGATAAAAGGTGTCTTGCGATAGCATAAAGGGCGAAATAATGGATAATATCACCTGCGTGCGACCAGGGACAGGGTGACGTGCGCCCCGGCAAATCCGTCCGCAGCGGTCGTTACTCGACTTCCAGTCTTGGTCGCCTTCCTTCTTCTGTCTTCTTCCGGTCAGGTGACGTCAATCTGCCAAGATCGCGGGAGTCGCCAGTCTCTATAACTCTCGGTACGGAAATACTCAAAAAAGGAAACGGAAACGGCAACGCGAAACGCGTGAGCCACGCAAATAACGTCGCGAAAAAGCGCAGATGCGTCCGCCCCCTAAAATGTGGAAGGATTCAGGACGCAAGACTGCACTATTCGGTCGTGCGATCCTTATGACGGACGGAAAACGTTACGTCACAACTGATAAGATAATAAACCTCATTATAAAGATCACTTGATAGGTCTCGAAAGTCTTGATAGATTAAAATATTGAGAATTGATAATTCTCGATTTCTTCGATTAAAAAAACTTTTGTTTGAATTAAAGAAATTTGAGCTAAACGCGGTTAAAAAAAGTTTCTTTAATTTGAACATCATTTTTTAAAATTAAATAAATTTTTCTTTGGTTTGATCTTTATTTCTTGAAATTTTTATTTTTATCAAATATATTTTCACTTTAATTTAAAAAAAATCAACAAAAAAAATATTAGGTTATTCGGAAAATAATTTCGTTTTTTCTTATGAAAATGAAAGACGATTTTCAATCAGACGCGTTTCAAATGATCATGAACGGTCGAATTCGATAAATTTAATCTCTCAGCGATCTCACGAGTTGTTATTCGCCGGTTTGTATCAATTAATGCCTTTATTGTGTCTTCATCAGCTTCAACTAGCCTTCCAGAACGTGGTGCATCTTCAACATCAAAATTGCCGGATCGAAATTTTGCAAACCAGTTTTGGCACTGGCGTTCTGTCAATACATCTCCATACACATCGGATAATTTTTTTCTTGCTTGAACAGCATTTTTACCTTTTCGATAGTAAAAAGTAAAATATACCGAAAATGCTACTTTTTACTTTCATATTTGAAAGGGCACCAACCAAAAACTACTGCGTAGAATCAATCGAACTTTTTTCACAAGCAAACCTTGCTATATCAGCTGTCAAAATATATAATGATTATGCGGCTTAAGTGTGAAGTTGGCTGTGAAAAAATACAATAAGTCCTCTGTTGCGAAAAAACGAAATTACTTTCCGAACAACCCAATAGTTTTTAAATTGTTTAAATTTATTAAAACATTCAAGATTTTCCAAGACATTCAAGACTTCTTAAGACATTTAAGATTGTATGATTTTAAATCATATTCGAATTAATTCGAATTCTTCATGACATATTCGAACTAATTCAAAGCATCTTGATACTCATCACTAGCTGTAAGTACTCGAAAATTGTTAGTTATGTATACCTAAAACTTTAAACGCGTTTTATTGTAACTACTTTTTTAAAATTGGCGTGCAAGATACGAGGGCAAGTCAATAAGTTTCTATTATAGAAAATCTGTCAGAGAGCACTCGTAATGTCATGTCACATTACTTTTTGACAAGTAGCATCTTTTAGCTGGTTACTGTCAAATTTTGAGCGGAATTCATCGCGTGGTTTCATTTCTGTAGACGATTAAAGCGAACAACCTTTGTATTTTTTGTAAAATGGAAAAAAACGAGTTTCTTATATTCCTGTCATAAATAAAGTTTGACTTTTTGGTACTAACAGTCCGTCTCTTCTCTCAGTCTATGGTGATCCGTATTAGCGAGCGTACATAATAATCGACACATAATGTCCGTCTTACACATCTGCGTTTTTTCTTTCTTTATATATTCTAAAAGTTTTTTTATTCTTATATGGACACGCTTGTTTGAATATTTTACATATGATTTTTGGTAAGTTTTTATTTATTATTAGATTTCCGGTATGTTAATTTATTTGCATGTATTTTTTTGTAAGAAGTTTTTTTATCTTTTTTATCAACTAGAGCTTTGCCAAGATATTTGTAATACATTTGACTGTTCAATCGTACGGAAATAATGTCGAGTTCTACATCAAGACTCACCCGAATTGTGAATGTAATGAATATGCGAACATTTGTGATAATTGATTTTGTACTACGATTTTTTCGTTATGTTAATATCTGAAGAGGGCTCCATCCGGTAGCCGAAACTTGTAATTTATATTTATTATTATATTACTTTTACTTTTTGTTTTAATATATATCTTTTCTTTCCTTTTTTATTATTATTTTTGTATTTTTAATTTATTTTCCATCTGTATAACTTTTTCAGAGAAATGCATTGACTCTTACTTTGCCCTTGTTTGTATTGTTATTTAATTTATTTATGAAAAGTCTTTGAATTGTTCTTTATGTATTAAATAAATTATTATACTTTTATTACATAATTTACACAAAAATTTTTCGTAAAAATCGATTTTTTTTCTTTTAGGTATCACCATTTTAATAATTTGATATTATTCTCCTTAAAAATAAGTTCAATTAATAAAATAAATCTTACAAAAAAGAAATCGTTTTTGTTTTTTTTTTGTTTTAGATGAATACAAACAGCGTTAACATTGCAGATCAACAAACAACTTTAACGCCGACGCATCAAAATTAAATTATTATAAATATAAAATACATATTGTTTCCCTATCAACAAAATATGTTTTAGTAGTTCAATATTACAATAATATATCCTGAAAATTTCGAAAAGATTTATTGTATACAGTTGCCTATTAAAAAATTCCAAAAGATCATCTCATTTTCAGCACGATATATGAGGTGCCCCCATTAAGACTTAAGATATATGTTATAGTCAGAGAATGGAAGATTACTTTTTAAAAGTAACAAGCTGCAGTCGTTGCCGAGTAGAAAAGGTGTTGTAACAGGTTACTAGTTTCCAATTTTTTAAAGTAATTAGCCATGGTTATCCTTACTTGAGAAAATAACTTTTCATTACTTTTCCGTTTTAAAATCGACGATTGTAAAATTCGTTATCGCTACCAAAAAAAAGTAACGTAGTTACCAATAAAGTTAACAAAAAAGTAACTTGTAACTAATTTTGTTACAAGTAACGAGTTACTTCTATTTTCTGGTTATAGTTGATGGCCCTTTTTCAGCGCATTGAACATATGAGAAAACGTTAATATATATACTATATATAATATATACTATATATAATATATAGAATTTTAGACTGATATAATTCTACATAATTTTATATATAATACTATGTTTTTAATGTGATTTTTAGAATTGCTTCTGGCTAATGGAACATGTCATTTTAAAATATTCCAATTTTTGCACTTAACTTTATAGCAAACTGAATTGTATAATATTATGTATTATGTATGCTAAATTAGAATTTTTTGTAAGATAGGGATACTGATTTCTCCTATACATTTCTTTTTTTAGCCATAATAATAAAATAACTGCTTAACAATCCCATATTTATAACTTTGTTATCAATTTACGTTAGATATTGAATTTTTTTTACATACATTTTGTGTGTGTGTGTGTATGGTGTTTTATTTATTATTAGTATTAAAAAAATTGTTTTATTGTTCTCAAAAAAATTAGGGAGTCACTTACAATCAGCGCTACAAGGGAGCAAATTCAAAATTAGGTATTTTTGAGAAAAATAGCCGCAGAAAAATATTTGAAAATGTGTTTTAAAGTCTGGAGCGGAAACTTTCGAATGTTTCAAATCCTATATTTTGCTAGCATATACTGCAGCACTGTTGGAAAAAATATTGTATTAAATTTATTATAATATAGTACTAATGTATATCATATGCTTAATATCGTATAAATGGTCCATTCAAATTTTTGGGTTAATTTAACACAAAGTAAATGTATTAGAAGGTTACACAAGTATTATATAAAAGAATAAATACAAAAAAGATAATATTGACACATTGTAAACAAACCATAGAAATATATTTTCTTCAGTAAAATTGACATCTGTTATATGTTAAATTAATTAATTTTATTCATTTATTTTATTGTTAGAATTTACATTCTAAAACACTTTACTTTTATGTTATTCATTTATTTAGTCACAAATTATGTCATTTTAAAAGAGTCATTAAGAAATATCAATTTAAACAAAATGTTTAAATAACATAATTACATTTTGTGTTAAATTAACACTTGCATATATTAAAAAACTTTAACACAAACTGTTAACAAGAACGCGAATGGACTGTTTCCAACACAAATACACAATGTTTTTTACTGTGAACAATTTCACTATAAATGGCACTAATTTAAAGCAAACCTTGAAAAATAAAAGAATAATACAAAAATAATGTTAAATTTTTAAATGTAAATTCTAAGATAAATGAATAAAATACGTGTTAATTGATAATATATCATAAATGTTATAATTATAGAAAAAAAATGTATTTCCACAGTTTGTTTACAAGCATCTTTTTGTGATCATCTTTTTAACATAATATCTGTGTTCTTCTTTAATGTATTCATTTGATATTAAATGAATACAATTTGAGTTTATCATTTAGGACATGTGAAATGTGTATATTCGACACAAATTTCTAAACAGTGGACGATTTTTTTTTATTAAGTTATTTAAAGTGAGTAAATTTTTAGATCTTTTCTCCAAGAATCTGTATCGTCACGCTCATATTATAATATATTGTAACAATTTGAGTTTGTCTATACTTTTGAAAGTTGTCTTCTTGGCATTTTAAAAATACATTAAATATAAATGTAACAATTTAAAAATTCTTTTAATAGATATTTATCTTTTATTTCATGCATATAGTAATTGTTTTAAGTATCAAATAACGTTATTATGTTACAGCGGATGATAGTGCACAAGGAGATGCGACAACATGCGGGAATATTTTGGTGATATTATCGTGGATTGTTGTAATATTGACAATGCCGTTCTCTCTCTTTGTTTGTTTCAAGGTAAGAGACCTGTTTAAAGCAAAAAAGACGACACTTTTAAAAAAATATTTTATGACATTATTCTCATTTATGTTATAAATTTCTCGCTATTCGCCGACAGTTGTGGGAGCGAGCGTTTTAATGAGCAATGTTGTTCCAATGTAACTATAGTTACATGGAATTTATTCATAATGCTATTTTTATCCACAGTACATGCAAATGTTCGTTTGCTTTTATTATTATATGCTCATTGAGTAGATACATATCATTGCGCAGCTGTTATGTAGGGTTGGGAAAGTTACTTTGCAAATAACTAATTACAATTACAGTTCTTTATATTCGACAAGTCAATTAGAGAAATAATAAAATTTATGGTGGTTAAACTATATGATAAAACGATCAATAATCGAACTTAATAAAGAAATTATAATTAAACTTTTAATACATTTATTACAATTGAACGGTTCGGAACCAAGAGTCCTTCTTCAGCTAATTCAGCGATAAAGTTAAAATTTTTATTTTATTAATACATAGATTGATAAAATTAACAGTAATAAGAAACGTAACAGTTAAAATTGCTTGAAAACTTGTTGCAAAAGTAGATGATATGTATAATAGATATATTGAAATTAATTTCTAATTAAAATGTTAAAATTCTGTTTTCAATGTGAACAATACATTAGTCCAATGTTTTGACGAATAGTCATCTACGAAGACTTGAGGACTAATCGTTAAAATATTGGACTAATTGTTCATATTGAAAACAGGATCTTAACATTTTAATTAGAAGTTAATCTTAGTATGTGTATTATACAATATCATGTATATATCTATATCTTTTGCAAAGTTTTCAAACAATTTTAACTGTTACATTAATTATGACTGTTAATTAATCTATGTATCAGCAAAAAAAAACTTCAACTTTATTACTAAATTTGCTAAAGAAGAATTTATGGTTTCGAAATGTTCTATTGTAATAAATATATGAAAAATTTAATTATAATTTTTTTATTAATCATTATCATATAATTTATTAGTTTTACATAATACGAGCGAATACGAGTTTATTGGTGCGAGTACGTGTAATCTTTGATGTTATAACGATGACCGCAACTAATTCTAGAATACATTGCTTTGAGATTAATGACGTAAACGTTTAGAAATTTGCGACAACTACACAGTTGTCATATGAATCTATTTTATCGTTTTTCAAGTTAACTCCCCTTCCTCTGGATTTTGTGAGTTTGGAGCTTTGGGTTTGAAAATTTATTTATTACTTCAGCAAACTTTAAAATACGTAAGAAAAGTTTATATAACAATTTCGATGTTGAGTTAAAGAAAGGTCCTGGGCTAAATAGTGTAATTTTAGTAAGAGGTTTGGCAATTTTTTAAGGTTGGAAAAAACTTTGATCTGTTGGCGCAATTCTGAAGTTACATTCGGTTTCACAGCTTCAAAATTCATAGAGATACACAGGTTCAGTCTCTCGGACATAACACTTTTTATTTTATGCGTGTGCGTGTGCGTGTGCGTGTGCGTGTGCGTGTGCGTGTGCGTGTGCGTGTGCGTGTGCGTGTGCGTGTGCGTGTGCGTGTGCGTGTGTGTGTGTGTGGTTGCGTAGCACATCTCAATTTTTCTTACAAACACAGTAAAATAAGAATTAATTTCTACCCCAGTACCATTCATCGGTGGTTGTGTAACGATTTTAATTTTTATTGAATGGTCTTATCAATTTGATTATTTGTATTTTATAATAAGTATTAAAATTGTATTCCATTAATACTATATTTATTAAACTAATTAAATAGAATATTATTTATTATTATATTGTATTTAATTTATAAAATTCTAGTAAAACTGTAAGTTACAATAGAGAATACATCTTTTTTTAATCTTACAGGTTGTACAGGAGTATGAAAGAGCTGTCATATTTCGATTAGGACGTCTTCTATCAGGTGGTGCTAAAGGTCCCGGTAAGATATTAGCACTATTACATTAATCCATTTGTTTCAGAAGATATGTAATCTGTTTAATTATGTAAGTAGATAAGCTATGAAGATTTTAAGCCATTATGTGTTAGTGCGTATATGTATGCGATGTGTATGTTGTGTGAAGATCAAGGGAGAGGGAAATGTGTTACAGATATTAGATTCGAGGGGTAAGGAAAGAGGCAAGTGCATCGTTTGGCGATGCGTCTGCAGGAAAGGAAGTTTATTCTTTTACTCTCCCACATTACGTTCTGTTCCCAACCTGTTGTCTTGCTTTGCACTCATTAAAGTGTGCAGTTTTGTCTCCCATTTTTTATGGTTCTCTATACTTACCATCTTATTCGTGCTCTTTTTTTTCGCCGTAGTTTCATATTTACTATACAGGATGTTTGAGAATTTACGGATATGTATTGTACAATGTGATTGTATGTGCCAAAAGAAGCAACTTTTTTCTTTGGCAAAATTGCATTTAAACAGCACTTTTTAAACGAGAGCAATTTTAAGTTAACAAATGAACATTCTATGTTACGCATAGATCAAAGGCGGCGCGCATACACATGGCGTGGCTCTCGGCATATGAGTATGTATCAATATTTTACTATTTTGCTAAAAATTTTATAAAAACTATGCATGATATCTAAATATAATTATTTACAAGTTGTCTAATATTTACTTATCTTAATTTCAGTCGTTTCTTCAGCGATATTAATTAGGAAACATTCTCTTTTTAAATAAGTTATATTCAAAATAGTGATATTTAGATATCATGCATAGTTTTGTAAAATCTTTAACAAAATAGTAAGATAATAACATACATGCTTATACGCCGGGTCACGCAGTGTCTATGCGCCACTCCTGATCCACGCGTGGATCCTTTGTTGCAAATTCTTACAAGAAAAATTCTTGAGATTTTCCAAGAAAATTTTCATATATAAATTTCCGACAGGAACATACAAGATCGTAGAAAAATATACATATAATATGTAGGTAAAGAATTTTGCATAAATCTTACGCCCATGTTACAATATATATGAATCTTATAAATATGTTAAATGAATCTTGCGCGCATGTAACGTGAATCTTGCAAGAATATAATTGGAGTATCATTATAAAAATATTACAAGAATGCTATTAGAATTTTGTGTGATTTATTATTCGTGTCACAGTAAATAAAATGAAATGGGACAAGCAAGGAGTTGAACGGGATTTAAAAAATTTATTTTGACTAAAAATAACAAATTTTTAAACTTTTTCGTAATTCTTTTTTTATTTCATAATATATTCAATCCATTTTCTGTTTATTCGTTAATTCCATTTCATTTACTGAAATGATCGGCACCTTTATTACTTTGGAACAATTATGTAAAAAAATTATTTCTTAAGAGTATCTTATTAGACTAAATTAGCAATTAAAATATTTTCATTGTGATATAAATCATTGTGCCAAATTTCTGCACCAACTTAAAAGATAAATTATTTTGTAATTATATGTTTTTTTAAGACTAATACATGATCTTTCATACAACATTGAGGAATTGTATATAATTAATACCATATTCTTGGATATCCTGTAAAGAAATTGTTTTTTAAGAGTTTCTTATAAGGTTAAAGACCCACACACATGCTTAATACAACCGTGATAGCGTCAAACTGAATATGTGATTCATAGCATAAGCGAAAAAAAATTATTCGTGTTTTTTCGTTTTGCAAAATTGATTATTTAAACGATAATTGTTTAAACAAATTGTTTAAAAATGCCTATTCTTAAAAAACTAGAAATGCTATTCAATTCTTCGTTCGAAAACAAAAAACTTTTTTTCTTGGTATTTTTTTGATCCGGTGCTTTGTTTATGCAAAAATTGTTATAAACGGTTTACATGTGCAAAGTTGACTTCTGCCCATGGGTTCTTGCCTAAATGTGAAAACTAACCACAGGATTCATAGCATAAGCGAAACAAAATTACTCGTATTTTTTCTTTTTGCAAAATTGATTGTTTGAACGATAATTGTCTAAACAAATTGTTTAAAAATGCCTATTTTAAAATACCTATTTGGTAAAAAATACTAAGAATAAAAGTTTTCGAACGTAGAATTAAATGGCACTTTTAGTTTATTAGAAATGAGCATTTTTCATTGCGATATAAATCGTCGTGTACGATTTATTCCAGATTCCTAAAGTCATTAAAAATTACTAATGAGATTCATGAATAAATTATATAAGATTCTTATTGTGATTATATTATATGATTATGTACGTTTATTTAGTAATCTTGATTGATCACATACAACTCTTTTAAAATCTGATACAAAAACTTTCAATAGGGGAGCACTCATTCATTAATTTAAAACTGCTTTCATTTAAAAAGTACTGTTTGAACGCAATTTCGCCAGAGCAAAAAGCGGCTTCTTTTGGCACATACAATCATGTTGCGTAACCTGTGTCCACGAATTCTGAAACACCCTATATATTCGCGCGATTCCCATTTTCTTCTCCGTATATGTTTTGTCTTATACAATTATTATCTATGTATAAAATATATATATAATGGAAATAATATTAATAGAATATTCAATAAGAAAAACATTCTTTGTTTACGTAACAAACTTATTATTTAAATATATATTGTATTAAATACCTATTTATTACTTATTATTTAAATATACCTTGCTGGAAAAGTTTTACTGAAATTGTTTAACGTTTTGGAACACTTAATTTTCAACAAAATTTCAACTTAATTTAAAAAAAAAAGCTAATTTTTAGAAAAATTTCTTTTTAATTTCAGTAAAATTTCAGAGAAATTTTAGCAAACATTTTAAAGAAATTTTAACAAAATTTTTTTCAGAGAAATTTTAGTTCAATTTTAATGATTTTTCAATATGTTAATTAAATTTCAATGAAATTTTAACAAATTTTTGCAGCAATTTCGCTTAAGTGTTTCAAAACGTAGAATAATTTCAATGAAATTTTTTCACCAGGGATATTTAAATAGATATATATTTAAAGATATATTTAATTTACTTTTTTTTCTTATTAGTTATACTTTTTCTACTCTAAAAAAATAATTTTTTATATGATGTTATGTATGTTATAAATAAAAGTTAGTAGAAGTTTAGTCTTTAACAGCCAACACAAGTTGTATATGTGTATATAAATATTCTTTATTATATTAAATCAACGCAAACATATACGTTTCGATTCTGTTTTGGATCTTCTTCAGTATATAATAACAATAACATTAAATCTTAAACTTAAGGTTTCTCAATATATGTATCTTTTTGCACATTTGTCACGTAACAACTTTTTTAAATTAAAATTTTGTAGCTATAAATATAAACAATAATATTTTGACAGCACTAAGAAATTCATAGGCAGTTTATTGAGATTAGAAAAGCGAATGGTTATAATCACAGCACATCTCTGCGTTATGAATTGATACGGGATACAAAAAAATTGATGGACTGCTTTCCTCTTAATATTCTTAACTTTTTTTTCCATTCACAATATAAGATTTTACACAGATATTGAATATTAAAATATTGAATATTATAGATTAAAAAGGCATAATTATATAATTTGGTAAGAATGCCAAAGAACCCCACTAATTCTATA